TATAGTAATTCCTTTATGCACATTATTTTGCTGAAAACAATCTCTTTTTTATGTTATCCACCACTGGTTATCTGCATTTCTCATACAGTAGTACATCACATTTATTTTTGTGCAATTGCCTTTCCCTAAAGAGTAAAATTTTTGAGTTCGACTTTGATATCTAATCCTTCCCCAGTGCTTAGCACAGGACCCCAAAGAAACTAAGTTAGGAGTTAATTTACAAGACTCCCTTTTCTTGAAACAATCTACATAAACGATTCATAAATATAAAACACACACACACGAACACACACACACACACTTACACCCATCTATACACACAGGCATGATAGTTTTGATAAATTATTGCAACACTATTCATCAAAAAATCAAATATTCTCCACGTCAATGTAACTAACGGTCATTAATACAGCATGCAAAGATCAAAAAGAGATTGGATAATTCTACTGGGAAGAAAATATATGCTTGGTCTTTATAACAAGAGTATCTGACTCACTGCTGTTACTCTGATTTGATGACTAGAAGGAAAAGCATTGCTTGACTTTGCTATCCTATCTTATCTAGAAAACAGGAATGAGAGAAAATGACAATCGATCAAACAAATATATGAATAAAAATCAAGCCTTGAGACATGCTCATTCAAATGACATGAATGAGTGCTCTGCATTTCTACATTACTGAGGCTTCACACTCAGCTGATGGAAACCTCAGGACCCTAACTCACTGCATACTTTGTCGATCAGAAACACTAGTATCTTGTTGCAGAGGGAATGCTGCCTGGATGCACATGATTACCTTTTTGATTCACTTTCCTATTCCCATTGCTACCATTTGTCCCCTGTTGCACACAACTATCTTGAAGGAAAAAATATTCACTTCTATGAGCAGAAAACTTTTTAAAATTCTTGGTTTATTTTATGACCCTTAGATGACATTTGTTTTTTCCTAGGAAATAGTAAAAGTTACTTTTATAAAGCAGCATTATTTTTTTAAAAAAATAGCACAAGCCAGTTGGTGGCATTTCTTTATCTTCATCATAAAGAAGCATATTGATTGGATGAAAACGTTACATAAGCAAATGGCAACAGCATGTTTGAGAGGAAATTGTCCTGCCCTAATGAAAATGTAAAGAACTACCAAAGCAATGCCAACTGAAACAATGGTCAAGTTGGGGGCAATTCTTTTCCTTGTAAGACTGCTCAATGAAAGGTGGGAGCCAACTTTAACTGGCCGTCTGTTTCGTGCTCCTTCAGGATTTTGTTTAGAATTGCATGGCTTCCAGCACTTAGGAGTCTGTGGTTTGATTTTCACCTGTGAAGTTGAAAATTGCAGCCATGATAATTAGCAGTGACTGCATTTCACCATGCTAAGCAAGGCGCATGCTCTTCAAAATACACCAAGTAGAAGAACACAAGGTGAATAAAAATAAAGTACCAGTATTTGAAAATTAAGCCAATGTATTCTAAAATATTTTCATCACTCAGAAAATATCCCCAGAATAATAACCAAGCAAACAATTCTAAAAGCAGTTAGAAAGTACCATGAACTAGGTAGCTCCCAGGAGAAGAAACACTTCAGAAGAAAATGGATATTGCACCTTCTTTCAGGCAGACTTACTAGTAGAATTTCATCCTGAAACTCACATAAATGGATGAGCAAGCATAAAACTAAATCCCTTATAGAGTCGATGTTCCAAATTTGTGTAGTATTACAGAATTTTAATGATGGAGATTATAATGCAAGCCCTGGTAAACAGAAGTCAGCACTGTCAAAAAGCAATTGTATTTTTCCTTTCTCAGAAAGTGGACAAACATTTTTCAATGTTTTTCCACAACTCTGTATCTCCATGTGCTTTTCTGGTCCAGATTTTTTTTTTTTTTTCTCTCAACACACACATCATTTGAATGGTGGCAAGCAGGAAAACACTTTTAGTAACTAACTGGCAGATGATGTAGCTTCCCTAATTTGACTTTTAGTTTCTAAACCAACAAAATATGCCAGAAGGGATTTATCTGGGCAAATTGGGTCTTAAAAAATAGTCTTTTTAAAATCGAATGGTTCATATTTTTAGGACATTACTAAATATTGAGGATGGTTTAATAGGTGATGAGGAAAGGTCTAACTAATGAACTGCTGAATGAGTAAATTTTTGCTTCATTTTTACTTGGCCAACCTGGCCTAGACTCAAGAACTGTTTTTAGTTTTTGATTAATGGTGAATATGCCCTATATACCCAAGTGAAATCAATTACCCTTTATTTCAACTGATCCAATATATCACTTTGAACTAAGGTGATTTAAATCATTGTATGTGTACAAATTTTAAGTGAATATAATTTTATAGCAAAAATCGATTTAAAAACATCCTTTCCCTTTATTAACACCATGCACATTTAATTGAGCAAAAAAGAGCCAGATGAAGTTTACATCAGCATGCTTCCATTTATATGAAGTTCAAGAACTGTCAGCACTAAAAGGTGGTAATAAACATCAGAGCAGTGATGCCCAGGTGGGTCAGGGAAGAGTGGGGAAGAGAAGAGAGGATTCAAAGGAGGCATAAGGAAATTTCCTAAAGTGATAGAAAGATTCTATATCCTGATTGGAGTGGTGGTTACATGGGTATATAGAGTTCTCAAGACACACTGCAGTATGCATCGAAAAAAATCTGTGCATTTAATTGAATGTAAATTATGCACATTATTTCAATAAAGTTGATTTATTTAAACAAAGTAAAACACATATTCAGCTCTGGGCATTTGCACTACTGATAAAGAAAGCAGCACCATATCATCTTACAACCTCTTTCTAAAGCCACTGGTTTGTATCTAAGTCCACAACCTTTAACCTAAGTGCAGATTCTACATGAGGGGAGAACAATCTTGGTTTTCAACCTCTAGCAGTTCTGTCTATTGGCTTGATATGAATGAAATCTACCTATTTTGCTTTGAAGATATAATCATCATATTGTTGCTTATAATTGACTCTGTGAGCTTTAAGAGGAAATAGGGCTGAGTTTTCATTCAGTTATGAACCGTGCCTATACATACATACACCAGGATAACAGTTAGAAAAAACATAAGCCTTTCAGTTGTTCTTCTAGAAAAGTTAGAATATGTAGAGTCAAGGAATTATCTTATATTGTTCCAGAGACCAGAATAGGGGTTAATGAGCAGTGGCTATTGGGATTGGGCACTGTAGAGAAGAGGCAGAAAGACTATAAACTGTGACTGGACAAAGTTGCATTGTGTGCCTGCAGTCCCAGCTACTTGGGAGGCTGAGGAAGGAGGATCATGTGAGCCTGGGAATTCAAGGCTGTAGTGGACCACAATCATGCCTGTGAATAGCCACTACACTCCAGCCTGGGCAACATAGCAAGACCTCATCTCTAAAACAAAATAAAACAACAACACTGTAAACTGTACCCAACAGGCTATTTTACTTCAAGACATGTTCCCTCTTCTTAATGAGGAAGACCCTTCAACTGGCTTTCAGTCTTTAGAGAGGCTTTAATATTTGCATCTGATTGTAGAAGCCGTTGAGATGGACATTCAAATATCCTAACATTGCCACAAAAGTACAGTGAACTCTAAAATGCTAAAGAAGAATGCCAAATTGAATCTTTGATTTTGGTGCTTTAAACCATACTGAGCAGAAATGTGAGCTTTTTCTTATTGATATTTAGAGTTGACAATTCTTCCAGAGATTATTTCATTGCTTTTGAGTAATACTATTAATGATAGCTAATATTTATTTTGCACTTATGGGCAGGTGTTATTTTAAGCACTTGGTATATGCTGTTTAATTTACTCTTTGAAAACATTGTGTGGTAAGTTACTGCTGTCATTTCTACGTTACACACAAGGAGTCTTCGACTTAGAGTAACTTATCTCAGGTTGAACAGCAGATTTATGTGGACTGGAACTTTTAAATACAAAGATCATAGAATGCTGCAAGAAAGTGTAGGTAAGAGCATTGATAAATATAGCAAAGAACCAGAAAGGATTCTAATGTCCATCAATAGAAGAATTGATAAGTAAATTATCACAATATCTTCCAATAACATACAACATAAATTGAAAATCAGGGAACTATAGCTACCCATATCAGCATGGACTAATCCCACAAACAGAATTTCTGATGAGGAAATCAAGTCACAGAATATATACAGTATAATTATATGTATATGTAATTCACAAATGAAAAATATAAAATAATATCTTTTGAAGATATACAATTCATTAAAATTATAATGAAAAATAAGATAGCAGTAAACTCTATTTTCTGTTTTATAATTTCTTATTCCATCTCAAATAGTCCTCCAGATACCTTTGTATTTATTTTGCTTATATTTAAGTTTACCCTTCTAAGGAAGAAATATATGTTTTAATCACTTTAAGATTCTAATAGTATATTTCAATAAATATTTTGATTTATCATGAGTAATGTAAATAATAATTATAATAAAATTTAACATAAACTTCAGGAACTAAGCATATAGAACAGTATTTAAGAAAAACAAAGCATGTGCCACCTTCCTTTGGTACTGATAAATTTTAAACACTGATCTAGACTACTAGACATCAAACAATTTCCTCTGAACTCTTCCCCAGAAGCAAGTAGCTTGGCTAAACCCTTGAGAATACATGTCTTTTCCATATTGTGCAATTTATTTTCGACAACAGGATCTCTGCCTTAGCCATAATTCTAGAATTGCAGGTAAGGATTGCTCTCCAGAGTCTTGGCCTGGGCCCTGACCATCTGCTGCCAAACCTTATTGAATCCATCTACTTGCCTACCTGAATTCCAAGTATTGCTTGTTGCTATCTTTCTGTGTCGATGAACTCTGATCATCAGCCAGAAAACACCCATCATCTACCTGTCACTTGTCACCTGTCTACTTGAACTGCTGCCTCTTTCTTTCACCATACTATTATGATATAACAGTTCCTCTAGGTTTCCAGCATTTAAAGCAAAATCTACACCACAAATGCTGGCCTCACAGCAGGGAAGGGGTGGGAGAAGTGAGAACTGGCTAAACATCTCTAGAGTGCATTCACCAGCATTTCTTTTAGAAAAGAGAGCAATGGATACAAAAGAATGATCATTTTCATCAGGAGAAGGTAAAATATTCCCAACTACTATCAGCCATGTGTCTATTTTCCAGAGCATTTCTTCACTCCTTTAGTTGACCAACACTTGAGACTTTTGAATATTTTAATCATTGAAGATACAGGAAGAAATAACACATAGCCCATATTCTCAAGGCACTCATCAATTATTAGGTTCACAGTAACATAGAACATGGCTGTACTTGCAGATAGAAGTATGAACACAGTGTAGTGGGCCCAGGGAGATCCCCTTCCAGGAGAGCTCATGATATCTAAGCTGAACTCTGAATATCAATAATGGAAATATTATCAAGTAATCGCTGCTTAACTAGTATATGCTAATAATTAAGCAAAATGTTTCATAGATTTGTTTAATTCACAATTGTTAGGTTACATTGTTATTCCCAATATACAGATGAACAAACTGAATTTCAGGGAGCTCAGGCAAGAGTTTTCAAGGATAGAGAACAGGGCAGAGATGGGGTTAGAAAAATGCAGAAAATGACATGAGACAATTAAAGATTAACATTAACTCAAAATGCAGGAGATGATGTTGGAGACGTAAAGATGGTAGTAAGGTATTGGTATGATTTGGCTATGTCCCCACCCAAATCTCATCTTGAATTGTAGCTCCCACAATTCCCATGTGTTATGGGAGGGACCCGGTGGGAGGTAATTGAATGATGGGGGTGGGTCTTTCTGAGCACTATTCTTGTGACAGTGAATAAGTCTCATGAGACATAATGGTTTTATAAAGGAGAGTTCCCCTGCTCAAGTTCTCTTCTCTGGTCTGCTGCCATGGGAGATGTGCCTTTCACTTTTCACCATAATTGTGAGGCTTCCCCAGACATGTGGAACTGTGAGTTCATTAAACCTCTTTCTTTAGTAAATTGCCCAGTCTCCGGTATGTCTTTATCAGCAATGTGAAAATGAACTAATACAGGTATGGAATTTTCAAAGTCGTACTGACTTTAGAATTACAAGCACAACAGAGTATGTCACTAGTGCAGTATAGTCCTTTGCACACAATAGATAATCAACAAATATTTTTGATGAAAGAATGAATATTTTATAGTTCACTCCCTAATTCAACTTTCTCTTTTGTAATTTACTAAGTTGACCTCACAAATATGTAAAAATGTTAGTTTCAGAGTCTTTTAGAGATGGGATCTACCATTATCTTTATACTTCTAGAACTACAGGCTGGACACGGTGGCTCGCACCTGTAATCCCAGCACTTCGGGAGGCTGAGTTTTGGGCAGAAAACTTGAGTTCAGGAGTTTGAGACCAGTCTGGCCAACATGGTGAAACTCTGTCTCTACTAAAAGTACAGAAATTAGCCAGGCGTGGTGGTGCACACCTGTAATCCTGGCTACTAAGGAGGCTGAGGCAGGAGAATAGCTTGAACCCAGGAAGCAGAGGTTGTAGTGAGCTGAGACAGCACCACTGCATTCCAACCTGGGCGACAGAGTGAAACTCTGTCTCAAACATTTAAAAAAAAAGAACTACAATTTATCAGTTTCTGTGTTCAGTGAAAATGACCAAATAAGACTTAGCAAAGTACAAATTAAGCTGTTATAACAATAAACCTTTCACATTTTGTGTAAAACGTATTTACAATACCTTATAAAGTTTCTATCTTAGCACTTCCTAAGATTTTGTTCAACTTTAAGGAACAAAAAGCATATTAACCCAGACAACATGTGCTCTGGTAGGGAAAAATCAAAGGTGAAAGTCCGCTTACAGGTCTCATGAACATTTAATGATGTCTGCCAAGGAAACACTTATCACTATCACAAATATATTTCTAAAACCTGCCAAAAAATAATTACACACAAACACTTTGAAATCATTTGAATGCCAAGAAAATCCTTCCACATCCTCAAGGAACTTTAAAGAAAACACGCTTTAAAATAATGAACTGCCTCCCATTTTCCTCCATTAAATGATTATCTGATGTCAGATACTTGTCACCAGTTGTAGCTTAATTACATGGTGGCACTACCATTTGGGGAATTATGCTCTAATGTGATGCTTGCCTAAAAGTAATTTGCATGCAACCTGCTCTTTGGCTCTGAGGATGACATCAGTCACTACAGAAGCAGAGAGCAAAAGTTAAGAAACATAGATGTTAAGAAATACAGATGTGGACGGGCACTTTGGCTCAAGCCTGTAATCCCAGCACTTTGGGAGGCTGAGGCGGGTGAATCATTTGAGGTCAGGAATTTGAGGCCAGCCTGGCCAACGTGGTGAAACTCCATCTCTACTAAAAACATAAAAATTAGCTGGGCGTGGTGGCACACAGCTACTCAGGAGGCTGAGGCACGAGAATCGCTTGAACCCGGGAAGCAGAGGTTGCAGTGAGCTGAGGTTGTGCCACTGCACACCAGCCTGGGCAACAGAGTGAGACTCTGTCTCAAAAAAAAAAAAAAAAAAGGAAAAAGAAAAATAAAATAGATGTTTGCTGAGGTCATATTGAACTGATGCTACTGCATAAGCTAAGGACAAGTATATCTCTTACTGGAAGAGATGCCATCACCATGTTTCTCTCATGAGAGCACAGATTCCTAAAGAACCTCATTGATCATTCAATGAAAAGTGACCTGAATTCTAATTTTCTTCTGCAAAACTCTTCTTTGAAATAACAGAAAAGCTGTTGATTCTCTATTCCCTAGTCTCCCCGTCTCAGAGTTGAGGATACAATCTCCCACATCACAAGGGTGCAATTAATTAAGGTGCAAGTTTTTTCCAACCTGTGGATGCAGGTAACAGGTGTAAATTACCATTTGAAAGAGTGATTCATGTCACCAAGACTAACTGCTGACTAGGGAGGCTTAAATCAATCCTATTTGAAGTTCTATTATTTTTTAAATGCTGACAGAGAATCCACACTTACATACAGCATTTCACAGATAAGATATGCTCCCTGCTCTCTGGGTCTGCCATGTCAGCGAAACAGATGGCAAGATTATAGGATAAATGTGGAAGCAATGGGCAGGGAAATGATGAAATCACAATAGATTTTTACAACCCTAAAAAAATTCTGGAGTAGCATTACCAGCAGGTAAATGAGACTTAGATAATATTAAAGTAGCAATTTCTAAATTCTGATGTTTATCTGAAATTTTGTAAAAATACTGAGCAGCTAGGCTTTAGTTGTCCTCATTATAAAAATGTATTTTTAGAATAGGTAGCATCTCCCTTGCTATATTTACAATGAAATTTGAAAATCAAAAGCCATAATATTTAATGCACACAATTTCTGTTTATATGATAATTATTGTTAAAATATATTACTAATAATGAATAATCATTTCCTTTTAAAATTAGGTAACTTGGCTTAGATTTTGAGGTGGTGTATGAGGGAAGGTAATTTTCTGTGAAGAGAAGCATTTGATACGCCTCTGAAGCCAAGGTCCAACGCGATGTAGAGAATTAAAGGAAGGGATAGAAGATGAAAGGGAAGAAGATGGAGACAGGAGAAATCTAATAGGGAGGACTATTGTGGCAAGATAGGATAAGTTGAGTTTTTGTTGGATGGGATAAATTCAGATAGTTGTTTTTTGTTTGTTTGTTTGTTTGTTTGTTCTTTTGTTTGTTTTGAGACAGAGTCTCACTCTGTCACCCAGGCTGGAGTACAGTGGTACGATCTCCGGGCACTGCAACCTCTGCCTCCGAGGCTCAAGCAATTTTCCTGCCTCAGCCTCCCAAGTAGCTGGGATTACAAGGGTGTACCATCATGCCTGGCTAATTTTTGTATTTTTAGTAGAGACGGGGTTTTGCCATGTTGGCCAGGCTGGTCTCGAACTCTTGACCTCAGGTGATCTGCTCACCTCGGCCTCTGAAAGCGCTGGGATGACAGGCTTGAGCCACCACACCCGGCCTAGATAGTTTTCAACATAAAAGAAAAAGAGCTACAGAAAAGTAGCAACTGAGTATAAGAATGAGTATGAAAGTGGAGGTGAGAAATTTAGGAAGCACTGGGAGTTAAAGGATTGGGTGGAGAAATGATTTTAAAAGGGGGATGTTTGCTAATGCCTGCAATGATTAAACTGTCTATGCAAGCAAGGGGCCATGTTGAAGAAAAAGCATTGCCAAAAGCTTGTTTTATATCTTGAAGTGAGTTTTTAAATTGAAGTTTTGAAGCTCTGATGTAGGTTCCAGTTGTATAACATGACACAATTGGAGTTAGCATGTTGAAGCAAATTCTGCAGCAAAAATAGCCCTCCTGATATTTCTCCCCATCTTCTTACTCCATTTTGTTATATTTCTATTTTTAATACAATGCATTGAAATGCTATCTTCTGTTATCTGAGTAAAGATTCTCTAACTTTACTATTTTTTCCTGGTGAAGCTTAAAAAGATATGTTATCATTTCAATCAATATTTTATAATTTGTTAGGCTGCTGCGCATAGTTTGATAGACCTATTGATGGAGCATGTTGCGAGCATGTTCTTTAAGATATCAATCCGTGAGGTCCGCTTTCAAGGAACTAATGAAAGCACGTTTCAATTGGCTTTACATGAAGCTTTAACATCATCGTTATCTTGCATTTCATATTTTGTACTTTTGGGAAACTGCCTTATAAAAAATCAGATAATATTACTTTAAAATTGCTCATTCCATAAATATTTGCTGAATGCTTACCAACACCCTATGATTCCTGTCCAAAAGTAAACTTTAATAAAGGAGAGGCAAGAGGAATTACAAAAAAAAAAAGTCATAAACACTATTATGTGAATAACTTCCAAAAAAGGCAGACACTTGACGAAAGGAACAGTTACTGAACAAAATCTATTTCTTATTTCTTACTGTCCATTAATAGACTCTAAGATAAAACATCATTTCGTGACAAAATTCTTATCTTCTAATTTCATGTAAAAATGGATTGTTTCAAGATTTGAATTTTGATTTTAAGACAACTCATTTTGATTATTTGTAAAAATCAAATGCTCACAATGACATGTATTCTTTCCCTCCCTCCCTCCCTCCCTCCCTCCCTCCTTCCCTC